CTCAATACGATGTGTCACATTTTCCCCATATTAATTTATAAACTCTATGAAATTTCAATAAAGTATTTGAGAAAATTTTATGTTCAACTCAAAGATTTATATGGAATTTTAGAGAAAAATAAGTTGTGAACAGAACTTATCCTACCAGACATGAGAAATTATTACAAACTGATAACAATAATAAAGACAATAAAGCACTGGCTTGAGAGTAGAGTAATAGATCATTGGAACTGAGAAAACAAAATCATAAACAGACCCATGAGTCTATGCAAACTTGATATATAACAACATTAGCATGTACATTAATGAGAAATGGTGCAGTATACTTTAGTGCCATAAATGCTTCCACATATGAAAAATGATATTGAATCTCTAGTTTACATTTTACAAAGCTGTTTTAAAATAGAGGACAGATTTAAGTTTTAAAAAGCTTTGAGAATGAAACATTGCTGAATATGTATGACTTAGCTATTTGGAAAAAAATTAGACAATACATAAAAACCTAAATCATACAAATTGAAAGTTCAGTTCTACTGAAAAACATGAACATTATAAAATAGAGACTAGATACTGACTGGAAATAGATTTGTTGCAACACATAAAAATGTCCAAGGTCAGTAGTCAATATAAATAAATGATTTCTGTAAATCATTCTAATGGAAAAAGTCACAAACAATATGAACAGGACAATTATAGATGAAATAGAACCTAAGTGTTCCATAGAAATATGAAAAGATACAGCTCACTAGTCATCAAGCTGCTGCATATGAATACTCCACGAAGTATAATTTTGTATTCATAAATTTAAAATGCCAAGATTTGGTCAGAACATGGACCCACAGAAACCCTTATTTTCATGTTGGTAATGTAAATTAGTATAAAAATATTAGAGGCAATTGGTAATATTAGTACAATTTAGTATGTTTCTATGGTCCAGAGTCTCCAAATAAGGTATGTATTCCAGGGAACTAGAGAAATTAACGACCACATATAAATGGAGAGTCACACGTATGCAGTGCACTTGTGTATGTGTGACTGTGTGCATACTCATATGCACAAAATGTTTATAACAGCTTTGTCATAGAAAAATGTCCACTGTTAGATAACCAGTGACAACCAATGAACAGACAATACAGTGTACACTTGGCACAATCTCTCCAGTGCAACTCAGAGTAACAAAAGCAAGCTGTAGACGTGGTCCTCACTCCAGCAGAGCTGTGTGGTCCACGATGGACGGAGGCCTCAGTCTAGGATGGGAGTGGGCCCCTTTACAACACTGTTTACAATTTTGAAAGTTTGGAAATAAGGTTAATTAAATCAATACCCAACCCCAAAGACGCAAGATAAGATGCCCATGCCATATTGCACAAGAAGGAAGCATGGTCCACATACTATAATGTGGAGACCACTAAAAATATATATTTCATTACCTTTCACTGTTTTTCTCTTTATTTCTCAAAAAAAAGAAGTTCAAGAAGGATATTAATCAAATTTTTAATGATTATCTTTGGGGCTGAGGAGGGAGGAAGGGAGAGAGAGAGGGAGAGAGAGAGGGAGCGGGGAGAGAGAGAGAGGGAGAGGAATCATTAAACTCATATATGTCTTCACTTTTTCTTTTAAAAATAGCCTTTTATTAAAAAAAAGGAAGAGGAAGATATTCCTAGCGATGTAAGGCTCAAATGAGCTGATTCAGGTAAAGCTCCCGCATAGGTCAGGATTAATGAGCTCTCAGCAGCTGGTCAAGAACACGCTTGCAAATCACACATCAAAGGCAGCTTGTGTTCATTCTTTTATTCAATCATTTTCTCATTCGCATTGTTTTCCTAGACAATGCTCTGCTGAACTCACTTTCCTCACTCCCTTTCTTGATGTCAGCTGTGCCGAGCCTACTCCTGCCCTCACGATTGTACATTCGGTACTTGGCTCTGGCCCTTAGTCCACTCTTACCTGTGTACACTGAAGCGGTCAGGTTCCATGCTTTCCTTACACTCGAGTTTGTTCCCGATGCTCATTCTGCAGCTGGTGCTGGCCGGTGGTGCATCGGGACCCTCTCGCTGGTTGCTCTACAGCAGGGAGCTTGTGTCTGGGCCTGAGTGATCAGCATTCATTCCTTCGGGAATCTGAGGTTCTAGGTCTGGAGGCAGAATTGGGGAAAACTGTGTTGCAGATTTGTATTTTCCTAAATAAAATTTAACCTCTCTGGAGAGGAGAGTATTTTTCATATTATTGTCATTAGGGAGATTGTTGTGGGTTTTTTTTGGGGGGGCATGGGTCTCTTATTATTTATTTTTGCTTTTACATATCTGGTTGGTCATCTTTCATATGTCTAAGAACTTGGATTTAGCTCTAGATGTATAGCCTTGCCATCATAATTGTAGAAAACCTGACTTTCTGTAAAGATATGTAAATCAAATATAAATTTATGGGCATGTATTTCCTAGGGCAAAATTGAAGATATGGGTTTTTGAATACATTTTATAACATCACTTTGGCCATCATTTATTTAAAAATATTTACCCGTAATCACTCATTTTCCTAGAAATCTAATATTTTTAAAATCAAAAGTATCTAAAGATTAATTTATTGCCGTTGTCCTTTACAACATCAGAATATTTTGAGTAAAATTATGTGGAAAAGGGCTGGGGATTTAGCTTAGTAGGTAACGCCACCTGCATCGCAAGCATAAGGACCCAATTTTAATCCCCGGTACCAAAAAAATAATTATGTGGAAAAGAAATTTGGACTTATGTTTGCTTATAAAGTTATTATGATGGTCATTCTTTAGTAGGTCATTCTGAAAGGAGAAGCTAAATTCCATTAGTAGCTTTTATATTAATCAGAAAATATATGAAGAAGAGCTATTGTCAAAGTTGTGAATTGACACTCTGTGTTCCTGATTTCATGACCTGTGTCTGGGTTAGTAATATTGCTCAACTGCAGGTACAAGAATGTTCAACTTCCTTTGACCAATACACACAGATTTATTTTTCCTTCAAAAGATAGTGTGGGAGTCAGGAGTTTGTGATTAGTGCAGGTATCCTCATAGTTTAACATGTCTACTGTGGTTCTGGACTTCACATTTCCTTTCACAGCTGTGGCAAAGATGTTGGCTGCCATGTGATATTCTAGTGCTTTGTAGTTGGAAGTGGGACAATGGACCCAGCGAAGGAGGTCTCTCAAGAACCCTCAAAGGAATGGTGTGGTTCGTCCTAACCACTATGGTCAAATGTGAAAAGAGAAAAATGATTTAAATAGAAATTGTTAAGCAAAAAGGAGTCAGCACGTAAAAGACTTTGAAAATTCCTAGCCCACCCACTCTGTAGGACAGGAAGGAGCATGTTCAGAAGAGAACACTAAGGGTGTGGCCTGGCCACTGATGGATAGCAGGAATAGGGTGGATGTGAAGCAGGGATGGAATCCGTTTTCTCACCAAGGGCCAGGGATGAAGAAAGAATTCTACCAGTTGTCACACCACGTGTTAGGAGCAAATGAAAACTGAAAAGGGGACACACTAAGGGGAACTGTTGTACTTCGTAGGCTCTTCAGGACTGAACTATGGAACAATTCAGGTAAAACACATAGTATGGGAAGAAGGACCCTGCAGATTTTGTTCTGCACATATTATCTGAAGTAATGGCCTCTAAAAATTTACTTTGTTATGATAAAATACATACCCATCAAGAGTTATTATCAAGAGAAGAACAAAAACCACAAGCCAAACAACAACAACAACAACAACAACAACAATCAAAGAGAGAAGACCAAACAGAAATCAAAGACAAGCCTTGATGCTTCTGAATACCCTAATTATGGAGATACCTATCCAACACTGATTTTGTTTTATATGAGAGGTATTTCAAAAAAGGCTCTTTGAAATGTATGAAAGCAGCGAGCATAACTTCACTTTGAGAAACATGAGTTAGAAGTTTATTTATCTGCCTGGGCAACTTAGTGATTTACAGAGAACCTGACTTAAAATTAAAAAAAGGCTGGCAAAGTAGCTCAATGCAAATGCCATGGTTTCAATTCCTAGTAATACACACACATAGCAGACATTGCTGCCCAGTACTAGGAGGCTATCAGTGACACAAGCTTCTTGCTTCCCCATAATTTGGCTGTTTTATATTAGGAGTCCAACTGAAACTACACGTGACTCATATGGGCATGTCAGATGGCAGAGTTGGGTGAGCATTGCTCCTCTGCCAATGGCTGCCATGGAGACCCAAGTCCTGACCTGTGAAGTGGCAGGGCCCTGCTGAGTTAACTTCCAGCCAAGGTCAGCTTGACCCCAGTTAAATTATTTTCCCCTGAATTATGGCTTCCTTTACTCAGGGGATGGGCTGCTGGTTACTTACAACCCAGGCCCAGTCCCCATTTGTTCTCTCCAGCAAGGTAAGCAGTACTTCCTCTTTTACAGCCCTGCCTGGGATATCTGCTATCACCAGATGCTTTGCACTCTATCACCAGATGTGTCAAAGCACACCCTGCTCTCCTTCTTCCCATGTTTGCAATCAATAAATACTGGATGTCTTTGGTGACTTTTGTCTTTGTTGCCCAGAGAAGCTTGGACCAATCAAAATCCAGCTTTCTCTGTAAGTCTTATTTCTGTGTCTTTCGGTTTTTCTTGCTTGAGTTGTATTGCCTTGTAGGAGATCGAGACCCACAGCCAGGGCTTCTCAGTACACAAACACACACACACACACACACACACACACACAGACACACAGACACACAGACACTTTACTTGGGCCTGGGTCTGTATCTCAATTGTAGATCTCTTGCCTATCATGTGTGAAGCTGATTTCAGTTCCAAACACTACAAAACAAATCATGAAAAGAAGTTCATGGATTTAATAATTTGATATGTCTTTCAATTTCTTTAAGATGCTATAGGTAATTAAGGAGTGACTTTGGGTGTCACAAACAGTTGTCACATGCTCTGAAGCTGAGGAATAAGAGAGACCAGCTGGCTTTCTTGTTGAACCACTTGGATATAGAAATCAGGTGGAGAAGCACTTAGTTCCCATGTGTCTTATGGCTGCTATCACATCTTGGTTTCTCAGGCTGTAGATCAAGGGGTTTAACATGGGAATCATAATGCCATAAAACAAAGAAGCCACTTTCTCCTGTTCCTGAGACTGGTTGATCCCATGGAGTACATACATGTAAGACAGAGTTCCATAGAAGATGGTGACTGCCGTCAGGTGGGAGGTGCATGTGGAGTAGGCTTTCCTCCTTCCCGCAGCAGAAGACATTTTTAAGATGGCGGCCAGGATGAAGATGTAGGAAAAGATGATGACCAGCACCGTGAGTGTCAAGTTAAAGCCCACAAAGACTGTCAGGACCATGGTATTGAAGTCAATACTGGAGCACGATAGGGCGAGGATTGGAGGTACATCACAGAAAAAGTGATTAATTAAATTAGATTTGCAAAAGTCCAAGGAGAAAGTCAAACTTGTGTTTACAGAAGCATTTAGGAAACCCATGACATATGAGCCAAGCAGCAGCTGAACACAGGCTCTCTGGGACATGATCACTGGGTAGCGCAGGGGCTTGCAGATAGCTACATAGCGGTCCACGGCCATGGAAGCCAGGATGAAGCAGTCACTGGTGACAAACATCCCATAGACAAGTAGCTGCACCAGACACCCCATGAAGGAGATGGACTGGCTCATGCTCACAAAGTTCTGCAGCATCTTGGGAGTGATGGCAGAGGAATAACAGAGATCAACCAGAGCCAGGTGCTGGAGGAAGAAGTACATAGGCTTGTGAAGGGCAGGGTCCGTCTGGATGAGGAGGATCATCCCTGTGTTGCCCACCAGCGTGGCCATGTAGATGACCAGGAAGGCTGTGAAGAGGATGTGCCAAGACCTGTGCTGACTGGCAAAGCCCAGGAGGATGAATTCGGTCACCACAGTCCCATTGTTTTGTTCCATGATTAGCATAAAATAAATATCAGCTAAAAATGATAATGAAACAGTAAGAGAGAAAGTAAAACCGCTGTGAGTCTTTTTTTTTCTGAATTTGAAAATGGTATAGCATTTGGTTTCATAGTCAGTCAGACAATATTTTCTGTGGCACAACTAACTTGGGTTTGAAAGGCTGGAACTTGGTCCTCAATTTAGATAATTTCTTCTACATTTTGGAGAAATTGCTGTTAAACTGCATCTCTGTTTTCAGCTACTAACTGTCATTTCATAAATACAACACTTGTAACATATGAAATATGCTTACTTTTAGTTATTTTTCTCTTTTGCTTTATGTAATTTAGTTACAATAATAGCTACCTAAATAGAAGTTATTGTGTCTGAGAACCTTCACCTTTCTTCTATTTTGACTTGATCTTGCCCTAACTTTGTCTTCTTGTGCACGCTCCCTTCTTTGTCAGCTCTCCTCTGACTCTCAGGGACCCGAGCTCATTTACAGTCTTCTTTAGAAGTATTTATCAAAGTACCTAGGGCAATAGATCATTTCCTTGTTAAAAACACTAGTGTGTTTCAGACCACAATTTGATAAAGCCATACAATTGTCCCAGCATTGCCAAAGATCTTCAATAGCTGTCAGCGTGCAATGGCCCCTGCTGTTGTATGTCTCTGGACCTGGCAAGGTGGTGCCCTGGGCCTGCTTGCTGGCCCCACCCCACCCTTGAGCCGCTGTGCTCAAGGTGGTGTGCCTCTGTCATCATGTGCTCTGTCTTCTAATGGTGAACAAGGTGGCCTACAATTTGTCTCCACCGCAAGTAGCTCCATGTGAAATATTCCGAGGAACAAAATTGTTAAGGGGATGCTACACACATTTAATTTAACCCCGTCTGGCCAGTTTGCTTTCTGGAATGGGTGTGCCAGTACACACTGCTAGAAACACGCATGGGCTTCTCATCCTAGCTTCCTTATAGGCACAGATAGTTTTCTAATATACTTCCCCCCAAAAGATGAAGGTGCAGTGGTGTCTCTATATTTTTATTTTAAAATACAAACTAATTTTCTCGCTACCTAATATACTTCTTTGAATTTTGGTATTCAAATCCTCAATAAATTGCTGGTGGAAGTTGCAATAATTCTAGTAAGTTGATTTATAGGTGCTTTTTACCCTGTTTTTTGAATTTTCATTAGTAGTTGATTGACAGTTTTCCTCACATTCTGTCCTGTATTCAATTTGTCTGTGTTATCCTTTATGGACCAAAATTACCAAATCTAAAAGAATAATTTATCATTTTTGCCATATGGATTTTGTTTTCAAAATCCTTACTAAAATCCGTTCCTCTTTCAAACTTATTATTTTAGTCAAATCTTATACACTTGATCTTAGCCAAAAGGCCGAGAAGCGATAGTCAAATCTTATAATAAAACTTATTTTTGGCCTAATATCAGATGCCTGGTACATGATGTTTTTGGAATCATAGTACTTTGTACTATAGATATAATTTGAAACATGAGAGAGCAATAAAGTGTGTGTATATGTGCACATGTGTATAGACATAGAAAATATTCAAATAATGTTAAAGTATTAAATACCTTGACACTTATTTTAAAACCTAATCACCAAATTTCTTGTCTATTTATGTTACAAGCAATGTATACTAAACATTTATGGAGCTACCAACTCTAATATTTTAATATCTCATGCCAGTGATTGCAAAATGAACTTTCTTCAAGACATTTCATGAGGCGAATACCATCTTAAACAAGCAAAATATGAAGAAGGAAAATTAGAACCTATTTATTTTTGAATGTACAGGCAAGTATCTTAAAAATGCACATTCACTTATCAAATCCAGCCACATACTAAATAAGTGATTGCAGAATTGAAGAGAGGCTCTAGCAAATACCTATTGTCTCTTTTTCCCAGGGTTTTATGTATGGGAGCAAAAATCAAGGGCAACATGGAGATCGTGCTTTCACCATTAGCTCTGAGCAAAAGACTTTGGGTTTATTAAGGAAGTAGTTTGTTGCCATGGAGCCCATGTATTGAATAGGTTTACCATCCAATCTCCCACATACCACAGGGAGCTGTTCTGTCCAGGCCTGGACTTCAGCAGGCTGAAAGCTTCCACAAGGATGCGAGCAGAGCAGAGCCTGCCCAGGCATGCATCTCTGACCCACCAGTCACACCCACCATTGCTGCCTAGGGGCAGAGTGCAGAAACAAATCCAAGTCCCATGGCAGGAAAGAAACACCAGAAGCAGAGCGCTTTAGCACTGGCTAAAGACCAACTTATATTTACCACAGCGATGAAACTGTGTTTTAAAATGACAAGGTTTGTTGATATGATTTGCCACAGTGGCACAAGAAAGGAGGAAAGCCATTTGACCTTCTCAGTGTGGGAAGTTGGTAGGTTGTCTCCCTGCCGCTGTTAAACATCATCATTTTATTGAGTCCTGAAAAGCAGTGCCTCTACACAAAGGACTAAGATTAGACAGCTGTTAGGATTGGATCTCCTCTTTTTTTTCTAAATTCTTTGCAAGAGAAAAATGATATGGAAAAAGAATTAAAGTTACCATGATCATAGAACGAGGAGCATGACTATTGCTATTTTTGAAGATGCAATTTCTCTCTGGGAAAGGTTAGAGGCTATCAGATAAATTCTTACTGAGGCTACTAAAATCACTTGATATTAAACCACTGTACAAAAGTCAGTACATTTCTGTTTAGTAGAAAAAGAAAAAAAATTTAAAAATATATCTACAGTAACAATAAGTATAAAGTACACAAATGCAAATTTGACAGAGTGTTCATGGCTTTTATTAACAAAATAAAACTGAAGTTTTAAAACTTTATCTCTAAAGAGGAAGACCAAAACCTAGACCAGTTCATGGATTCAAAAGTCAATGCTGTCAACATTGTATTTCCTTCTTATTAATTTATAAATTCTATTTAACCCCAAACACTTGAGAAAATTTTACATTTGACTTTGCAATTTTATATGGCATTTTAAAGAAAAAACAAGATGGGAAGTGAACTTGTCCTATCTGATTGTAGATATTATTGTAAAGCAATAATAACACAGACAGTATGGGTCTGACTTGATGTGGACTAAGGCCTCAGAAAGTAAACCATAAATAGAATAATTCATCTATGGAGACCTGATGTATGAAAACATTAGTGTAATGATCAATGTACAATGTGCAGTATGCTTTGCTGCTATAAATGTTTACAGATATGAAATATGATATTGAATTCTTACTCTATATTTCATGAAAAAATTTAAAAAATGAACAAGAGATTTAAATTTTAAAGCTTTGTGAGTAAAACAATGCTGAATATGTATTTCTTAACTAGGTAGAAAAATATACAAATAAGATATAAAAGCCCAAACCATTAAAATTGAAAATTCAACTCTATCGACAAAAATCAGCACTATAAAACAGCCAAGATTGGATACTGACTAAAAATACAGTCAGGTAAATTTCTTTGAACATATAGAAATGTCAAAGCTTAGTATCCCATATAAATAAATGAGTTTTGTAAATCAATCTAATGGAGAAATTTACAAAAGATATAAACAAGATAATTATAGAAGAAATAAACCTAAATGTTCAGTAGAAATATGGAAAAATACACTGTTCACTAGTCATCAAACAACTGTATGTGAATACTTCATTGAATTACAATTTTATACTCAATTTAAAAATGTCATGTTTTGGTGAACACAGAACCATGGGAGTTGATATTTTTCTGTCTGGAAGGTAAATTAATATAAAAAGGTTGAAGATAAGTAGGAAATATTAGTACAATTTAAAGTTTCTATGGTTCAGAATTTCCAGATAAGGTATATATTCTAGAGAAATTAATGACCACATATAAATGGATATTCATACATATGTACATGTGTATGTCTGAATGCATATATAGTACTCCTGTAAATGTATGCACAACACGTTTATACCAGGACTGTCATAGAAAATACTCATTGTTAAACAACAGTGAAGAAATCAGTAAACAGATGGTACAACATGGACACGGCTGAGTCTCCGAAAGGCAATGAAGAGTAATAAAAACATGCTTTGGTATGAGTAATGCCAGGCAGAGTGGTTTGCTGCTGACTGGTTGGAAGGGTCGCTTTGAGGTAGGAAGGAGCCCCAGGTGATGGAATTTAGGAAACTAAGCATGTTGCTGATATAGGTTTCTTTCTTTTTCCAAATATCTTGCGAAAACAGAGTAGTACAATTTTGCAGCATTGGGGCAAGACATTACATTGAGAATTCAAATAAAATGGTATGATGCTATAGGAAACAGTTTTTAAGAACTAAGACTATAAGGAGTAGACACACACAGGATCTGTTGCTTGTGGGCAGTCTCACTGAATATGAAATTCTTTGTCTCATCTACCATGAAGACACTTGCTAATTGGATTGAACACTATGAAGAGGGTGGTCAGTTACCGGGTGTGTTGATCATATTCACCATCTCCCAAGTCCTGGGGCTTCTGAAGCTTCTTTTAAACTCAGAGTTGTGAGGCAGGAAAGAAATAGACCTACCTGGGTTTGAACTCCGGTCCTACCACTTCTAAGAGATGAAGGATGCGACTCTCCTCAGCCTCAGTTTCTTCCCCTAAGGTGGGGATCACAGAATCACTTAGAAAGTAATGATGTCCATTGCAGCATGGTGTGTAGGGCAGAATTTTATAAATAAGGTTCACTAAATCATAGGAGATTCATATTATGGAGCAACACACAGCCCAGAAAGTTGAGACAAATATATACTGCTATGGAAAAATGCCCCTGTCATATTGCATAATAAGGAAAGCACGGTACACAATAATATGAAATGAGCGGATCATTTGACAAAATACTTCATTCATTTCCACTGTGTTTTGATTTTCTTTGCTTACCCATGGAAAAGTTCAGGAAAGATACTCACCAAGAGCTTTTTGCACTTGCCAGGCAGGCGCGGCACCACTGAGCTACATCCCCGGCTCCTTCACCAAGTTTTTAATG